AGCAGGGTAACACTGCATGGTTCAAAATAGGGAAGGGTGTACGCCAGGGATGCATCCTGTCTCCATACCTTTTCAACATGTATGCAGAGCAGATAGCATAAATAGGCTCTCAAATATAACTGAAAATATATGATCAAACTAGATGATTGGGACCTCCTAAGAATGAAATCCTTATGTGTATCAAAAGACTCTCCAAAAGAGTCAAAACAGAACCTACAGACTGGGGAAAACTATTTGGCAGTGACATATCTGACAAGGTGCTCACCTCTAAAATGTATAGAAACCTCCAACACCTCTACAAGGAAAAAAATCATTCAATTAAAAAATGAGTGAAAGACATGAAAAGAACTTGACCAAAGAAAACATTCAGATCATCAACAAACATATGAAGAAATGTTCAAGATCATTAGCTATTGTTATTGTTATTAGGTGTCATGAGTTGACTATGACTCACAGTGACCCTATGAGTAACAAATTGAAACTCTGCTATATCCTGAGTCATCAATAACTGTGTTCAGGCTGCTTAATTTAATCATTGTGTCAATCCACTTCTGGGTCTTCTTCTATTTCACTGACCCTCTATTTTTCCAAGAACATTAACTGTTGCTACTGAAAGATAGATATAATCTAACCCCAACAAAAATAGCAAAGCTCAATAAGACAGCAAACAATAAATGCTAGTGAGGTGATACTAGAATTCTCATACACTGCAAGTGAGAGTGTGAAATGGTGCAATCACACTACAGAATGCCTCTTGGCATGCCCTTAGAAAGTTGGGAATACCAACACCATTTAATCCAGCAATCTCACCATGAAGTATATATCCCAAAGAAATAAAAGCTAAAATGTGAATAGATATATACACACTCCTACACGTCCACTGCTGAATTATTCACCATAGCCATAGAGGAAAACAACACAAGTATCCATCAAAGAATGAGTGGATAAACTAAAGTATAACCAACCACACAATAGAGAAATGTTGTTGTTGTTGTTGTTTGGCAGTGAATTAGAACTGATCCTCCAACAGGTTTTCAGAGGCACTAAATCACACAGAAGTAGACTGCTTATCTTTTTCCTGGCAAGCAGCTGGTGTACTCGAACTATGTGCCTTTGGGTTGGCAGCACAGCTCCTTACCACTAAGCCTTCAGAGTTTCCTCTTAATGGATAGCTATGCTCATTTTGAAACAATAAAGAATTCATTAAATAATGCACAGTGTGGATACATCTAAAGAACATTATGCTAAGTGAAATAATACCATTACAAAAGGATACATATTCTATAGCACCACCACTATAAAAGACCAAGGAAAAGTTTACATACAGAATCATTCTTAGATGATTACTAGGGATGGGATGGAAGTACAAATCAGTAAATGGGTAGTAGACACATGATAAGATAGGAGAAGGCAAAGAAAATATCCAATCAGTAAGTGGATGATCAGCATAATATCACTGAAGAAAGTTACAGACGGAATAATGAAAATCAGAAAGACAGGAAGGAAGTAGAATAAGTGTGATTACATTGTGAGTATTGAAACGAAAATTATAGTTTCAAGTATGTATGAATTGTTGGGTGGACAAGTAATTTTCTTTGTAAACTTTCACCCAAATCACCATAAAGTTTTTAAAAAGAAAAATGCTATTTCTTAACAGAAGTGAGAGTGGTACCCCAGAGTTACTGATAGGAATTACAATATTAAAACCATTGAGAATCTTTAAGAACTCCATTATGTCAGAGAATTTGAAGATGCTTTCTACCCAAAGTAATTTGTAAGACCAGAAGGAATTCTAGAGTTGGAAAATCAAAAGGGCCGAACTCGCTCAGCATTTAAGCTCAAGGAACTGAAGAGCAAATTCAAACCTCGAGTTGTTACAATCAAGGATGCTTTAGGCAGAATGTTAAATGATCCAGGAGGTATCAAAAGAAGATGGAAGGAATATACTGAGTCATTGTATAG